CCTGTAATTTGGGAGGCTAAATAGTAGCTCTTTTAAGAAATGGAGTGAGGACACTGTGAAGTGCAACACCTGAAAGCAGACCCAGAGCCTCGGCAAAGTTAAAAGCACATCAAGAGCCAGCCTGCTGGCGGCACTGCCCCTCTCTCACTGCCCTCCCCACAGAGCGCCTCGTTTACTATGAATTTCTTGGTCAAGGGTACAAAGAAAGAAGCCTTGGTGAACTGCACAAACACAGGACCCAGTCAGACCAGCAGTTTACAAAGTCGAACAAGTCTCTGCCAGAGAGAACTTCACTCATCAAATGCCGGCCTTAAGTGGGTGAGTCCGCAAACCTGCCTCCTCGCTTAATGGGTGGCCAGGGGCATCCCCAAGGGATTTACTGAAACTGAATTCTCCTGAGGCACTATGCAATCTATAAAAATGTTTTGTTTGGTTAAACCCTCCAAGCAGTGTTCTCTGAGTCACTGTAAGGTTTTATTTTTGTGTATTTTTCTCCTTTCCCAATCAAGAAAACCTCATTCAACCAGGCAACTGAGCAGAAAGTCTGTTTCTTTCTATTCTTCCCATCCTTCAAATCCCCCCAGTCCCATCCCAAATAAAAACAGGTCCTAAGGAATGTTGTGACAGTTACCTTCACAAGCTGGCCCTTTTCTTCTGGATGTGCTTAATTACCAGTGAGTTTGTTGATTAAGGTCCCACTAAACTAATTTTCCTCTATTAATACATTATCCCAGCTATTGATCCAGACTTCTGGAACAAATTCTTCCTTTCTTAAATGAACTAACATCCCTTTTGTTACCTCTATGTAGAAAATATTAGTTTTTAAAAAAGAAATGCACCATGAGTTCCTCACATCTGTAAGTTCATTAATTCAGTCTGGCCTTGCAACTAACTAGTATTCCTCCAGTAGCCAGTCCCATGTAACTGATGATCAATCTTACCTAATGGAATCTAAAATCAATAGACACAAATAAGATGCTCTGCGTGACTGTGCAGTCTAATATACCTAAGCTCCATGTTTCTTCTTACATTTCCATAAGAGTAACATGAAGAAGACAGTAGTAAGAGCAGCAATAATAGTGGCAGGCAATACCTACAGAGTTCTTACTATGCACTGGGCAGTTTTAAGTACAAGTATTTATCTAACCCCACAAAACGGGAGCTATTATTACCTAATTTTTCAGCTAAGACACTGAAGTACAGAGAAGTTAAGTAACTTGCCCCAAATCAGAATTAGTGTAGAACCACTCCTGGGTCTGAGACCTGCCAGTCTGACTCCAGAGCTCACACTCTGAACCACTAATACTGCACTGCCTCTCAGATAGAAACAAGAACTTAACTCAAAACTGAGTCACCAGAAAACAGTTTTAGTTATTCAAGAACACTGAATTTCCGAGAAATGAAAACCTAGATTCATGACCCTTTTCTTATATGGCAAGTTGTAGGGGTTCTAAAACATTGTAAGAAATCACTGTCACTTTCAGTGCCTGCATTGGGGTATGGGTAGGGACTTGATAATATGGGTAAATGTAGTAACCACATTGTTTTTTTCATGTGAAACCTTCATAAGAGTGTATATCAATCATACCTTAATAAAAAATTTAAAAAATTAAAAAAAAAATCACTGTCACTTTAATATGTCATAGAGAACTGTGAAAAAGGCAATACTGAGAAAAGATCCTTTATCTAGCCAATAATGCAAGCACAACTCTGACTATGGCACATGCTCCTAAAGGTTTCAGGCTTTCAGGAGCACCAATATATGTGAAACAAATACTAACAGAATTGAAGGAGGAAATAGAATGCAATGCATTCATTTTGGGAGACTTTTAACACACCACTCACCCCAAAGGACAGATCCACCAGACAGAAAATAAGTATGGACACAGAGGCACTGAACAACACGCTAGAACAGATGGACTTAATAGACATCTATAGAACTCTACATCCAAAACAAATGCAAACATATGTCCACATAAAAACTTGAACTCAGATGAGCACAGCAGCATTATTCATAATAGTCAAAATTAAGTGGAAAGAACGATCATTTGATGAATGGAAAAATAAGATGCAACAGAGCCACACATGGAGTATAATTCAGCAGCAGAAAGGAGTGAACTGCTGATACGTTACATGGATGGATGTACACTGATGAACCTTGAAAACATTATGCTAAGTTAAAGAAAGCACTCACAAAAGACTGTATATACTATGATTTCATTTATATAAAATGCCCAGAATAGGCAAATCCATAGAGTAAATTAGTGGTTGCCTAGGGCTGGGGGAGGGAAAAGGAATGTGGAGAGCCTGGTAGTGGGTAGATTTCTTTTTGGGATGATGAAAATGTTCTAAATTTAGATGGTGGTGATGGCTGCATAACTCTGTGCATATACTAAAAACACCTAACTACATATTTTAAATGGATGGATTTTAAGGTATGTGAATTTTATCTCAATAAAGATGTTTAAAAATGGTAATTACTACCTATAATATAGTAAGGTGCTTATTACCACTGAACTAAGAAGGGCTTTTAACCAAGCCTCAGGTTGTCATCAGCCACACTTCTCATGGAAGTGATGCCTGAGCTGGACCCAAAGGATGAGCAGGAAGGAGGCCAGGCTTAGGGAAGAAGGTCCAGAAGGGAGAAAATCACATGACAAAGGCTGTCATTAGTGTAGAGGGCAATGCAGAGAACTGGTAAGGGAAAAGGCTGAAGATGGAGGCAGGTACCAGTGACGGAAGGATTTTTAAGCTCTTGGTAATTACTGAGTGTCATCTACACCCTCTGTCATGGGACGTTGCAGTTCCTGGCACTAAGAGGCAGTCTGCTTCCACAGCCTACCCCTTGCATCTGAGCTGGCTATGTGACTTGCTTTGCCTAACAGAGTATTAGCAGACCAGTGTCAGCAGAGTTCTGGCAGTGTCGGCAATCCTTGTGTGACGGTCCTTGCTGGCCCTTGCACTTACTGGAAGGGGTAAGACACACAGAGCTGCCCCCGTCACCCAGCTCAGGCCATTCTAGTCAATCCACAGCTGGCTGACCCCAGACACATGAACAAGCACAGCCCTCGCTGACCCAACGGTGAAAGAGTCCAACCGAGCCCAACCAGGATCGGCCAACCTACAGACTCAGCCTCACACATGAATCTCCCTGCTCTTGTACAGACGACAACCTAAGGAACTCAGATGAGCAATTTATCCTGACAGGAAATGGGTATACATTTTATATGAGAAGTCTAATATCCTAATAAGCCTGTAATTTGGGAGGCTAAATAGTAGCTCTTTTAAGAAATGGAGTGAGGACACTGTGAAGTGCAACACCTGAAAGCAGACCCAGAGCCTCGGCAAAGTTAAAAGCACATCAAGAGCCAGCCTGCTGGCGGCACTGCCCCTCTCTCACTGCCCTCCCCACAGAGCGCCTCGTTTACTATGAATTTCTTGGTCAAGGGTACAAAGAAAGAAGCCTTGGTGAACTGCACAAACACAGGACCCAGTCAGACCAGCAGTTTACAAAGTCGAACAAGTCTCTGCCAGAGAGAACTTCACTCATCAAATGCCGGCCTTAAGTGGGTGAGTCCGCAAACCTGCCTCCTCGCTTAATGGGTGGCCAGGGGCATCCCCAAGGGATTTACTGAAACTGAATTCTCCTGAGGCACTATGCAATCTATAAAAATGTTTTGTTTGGTTAAACCCTCCAAGCAGTGTTCTCTGAGTCACTGTAAGGTTTTATTTTTGTGTATTTTTCTCCTTTCCCAATCAAGAAAACCTCATTCAACCAGGCAACTGAGCAGAAAGTCTGTTTCTTTCTATTCTTCCCATCCTTCAAATCCCCCCAGTCCCATCCCAAATAAAAACAGGTCCTAAGGAATGTTGTGACAGTTACCTTCACAAGCTGGCCCTTTTCTTCTGGATGTGCTTAATTACCAGTGAGTTTCTTGATTAAGGTCCCACTAAACTAATTTTCCTCTATTAATACATTATCCCAGCTATTGATCCGGACTTCTGGAACAAATTCTTCCTTTCTTAAATGAACTAACATCCCTTTTGTTACCTCTATGTAGAAAATATTAGTTTTTAAAAAAGAAATGCACCATGAGTTCCTCACATCTGTAAGTTCATTAATTCAGTCTGGCCTTGCAACTAACTAGTATTCCTCCAGTAGCCAGTCCCATGTAACTGATGATCAATCTTACCTAATGGAATCTAAAATCAATAGACACAAATAAGATGCTCTGCGTGACTGTGCAGTCTAATATACCTAAGCTCCATGTTTCTTCTTACATTTCCATAAGAGTAACATGAAGAAGACAGTAGTAAGAGCAGCAATAATAGTGGCAGGCAATACCTACAGAGTTCTTACTATGCACTGGGCAGTTTTAAGTACAAGTATTTATCTAACCCCACAAAACGGGAGCTATTATTACCTAATTTTTCAGCTAAGACACTGAAGTACAGAGAAGTTAAGTAACTTGCCCCAAATCAGAATTAGTGTAGAACCACTCCTGGGTCTGAGACCTGCCAGTCTGACTCCAGAGCTCACACTCTGAACCACTAATACTGCACTGCCTCTCAGATAGAAACAAGAACTTAACTCAAAACTGAGTCACCAGAAAACAGTTTTAGTTATTCAAGAACACTGAATTTCCGAGAAATGAAAACCTAGATTCATGACCCTTTTCTTATATGGCAAGTTGTAGGGGTTCTAAAACATTGTAAGAAATCACTGTCACTTTCAGTGCCTGCATTGGGGTATGGGTAGGGACTTGATAATATGGGTAAATGTAGTAACCACATTGTTTTTTTCATGTGAAACCTTCATAAGAGTGTATATCAATCATACCTTAATAAAAAATTTAAAAAATTAAAAAAAAAATCACTGTCACTTTAATATGTCATAGAGAACTGTGAAAAAGGCAATACTGAGAAAAGATCCTTTATCTAGCCAATAATGCAAGCACAACTCTGACTATGGCACATGCTCCTAAAGGTTTCAGGCTTACCTTGTTTTCCTCTAAGTTCCTTTTCAACTTTTCTTCCAGGTCCCTGGTCTCTTCCGAGCCCTTGAGTTGGCTCTGTTCATAATTTTCACAGGCTTCCTTAAGTTTCTCTTGTAAGACTTGGTACTCCTTTTCAATCTGTGAAATATCCCCCTAAAAGTAAATTATAAAATTACCTATTAAAAGAGGTGAAAAATGCCTATTTCTGATACTGTTTTGAAATGTCACCTAAAAAAACAAGGAAGAACAACAGGCAGATGAAAATTTACAAGGGAAATGTCATAATAATTCAAGAATTAAAAACCCCTAAACACTGTTTAGCAAAGCCAGCTCTTTTTAAAATACAATTATTCATATTACTGGAATTTATAATAAAACTTTCAATCTATATTATAGTTTTGAATATTTTAGAAGGGTTTAGTATAAATAGCTTAATGTAAACATCATTCTCCAGAATTAACATATGGAATTATTTATTAGGTTTAAAAAGCTGTATATATTATGGTTATTTTAGATATGAAGAGAACACATTTAACTTTGGTCCTACTTTTAAGTGTTCAAACAGATAGTTGATATTTCAAAAAGACACGTCAAAATATTACCAATGAACTATTTTCAGTTATGTAACTCTCTTGGAGCAGCTTTAAAAAAAAAAACCACCCAGAAGCAATACTATAATGTGAAATATTGGCAAATCGTAAACATCACTTGGGTATTTTTTAAAACCTTTCACACTGCTAAGAATGCCAGCAATCACACATTTTTTTCTGAAATAGCATATGTGTGAGCTGACAGCTCCTTCCAGCTGCAGGCGCCTGCTCTACCCAGATGTGAGGGGCCTTGGCAGCCAAGCTCAGAAGTTTATCCCAAGGGCACAAACCAGGTTCATCTTCCCCATCTCCTGCCTGTCTCCCAACAGCTAGGCATCTTCCAAGTGTAAAAAGGCAGAGAATCAAGGTTTTAAAATTCTGTGAATTAGCAGTTAGAGAACTGTTGGCTATGGCCAGCGTGACCATACACACGAGTTTTCCTTGGAGTGTCCCAGCTATTGTCCAACCAGACTGAAAGTCAGCACTATGAATAAAGTCCATGTTTAAGTAATAAACTGAATGGTCAACCCTAGTATGACCTGTGAGCAAGACTGTAATGTAATAAGACTTTGTAATATTGTAGCAACTATGTATAGTGATAGATGGTAATGACACTTACCATGGTTTTGTAATATATATAAATGTCAAATCACCATGTTGTACACGTAAAACTAATATAATATTGTACGTCAACTATACTTCAATTAAAAAGAAGAAAAAAGACCTATGATTTAACATCTTAGTTACCTCTATTTTTATTCTCAATTCAGCAAAAGGACCACAATCAATAGTAATTGGGTACTATGAATTAACTCATATGCCCAAATTACCCACAGAGACAGGCAGGAAGTTATATACCCCTCTAAGCTATTAAACTTAAATTTCACCACAATTCTGTAAGACATATATTATTTTTACCTTTTATAGATCCGAAAACCAAGGTCTGGAGAAATTAGACAAGTTTTCAAAGCCCCAAAGGAGAGCAACAGCGCTGAGACTGATTTCCAGTCTCAGTGAGAAGCCAACAATTGGCTATGCTAATGCCAATGTCCTGAAACCAAGAGCTAATTTAACAAGTATTTCTGATTTCTTCCAACACTGATGAAGATATCTGAGTGTCAAAAAAACACTAACTCACTAAACAACACACTATATCTGGTTTAAAATATGAAGTAAGAACTCAACACCAGTTATTTTATTGGTGCATACTCATATATGCAAAAATTTCCATTACAGCACTGTCTGTAAGTGTGAGAAGCTGACATAATCTAAATGTTCAATGATAAGAAACCAGTCAAATAAATTATCATATATTCATACAATGGAATACCAACTGTGCATTAAAAATGATGGTAAAAATATTTATTTACTGATATGGGAAAAAGTCCATAACATAACAAAGATGAAAATTTCAAATATAACGTATCTGGTAGGATCCCATGTTTTAAAGAGCATTGCTTACTTAAGTGTAAAATAAGGCTTAGAAGTACAGTAATCAAAACGATTTGGTACATGTATAAGAAGAGACTCATAGATCAATGGAACAGAACAGAGAGCCCAGATATAAACCCATACATATATGGCCAATTAATATACAATAAACGAGCCATGCATATACAATGGAGAAATGACAGCCTCTTCAACAACTCGTGTTGACAAAACTGGACAGCTACATGCAAGATAATGAAACTGGATTATTGTTTAACCCCATACACAAAAGTAAACTCAAAATGGATCAAAGACCTGAATGTAAGTCATGAAATCATAAAACTCTTAGAAAAAAACATAGGCAAAATCTCCTGAATATACACATGAGCAACTTTTTCCTGAACACATCTCCTCAAGCGAGGGAAACAAAAGCAAAAATTAACACATGGAAGTACATCAAACTAAAAAGCTTCTGTANAGACAGTTCTCCAAAGAAGAAATTCAGATGGCCAACAGACACATGAAAAGATGCTCCACATCACTAATCATCAGGGAAATGCAAATTAAAACCACAATGAGATATCACCTCACACCAGTAAGGATGGCCAGCATCGAAAAGACTAAGAACAACAAATGCTGGTGAGGATGCAGAGAAAGGGGAACCCTCCTACACTGCTGGTGGGAATTAAGCTAGTTCAACAATTGTGGAAAGCAATATGGAAGTTCCTCAAAAAACTAAAAATAGAAATACCATTTGACCCAGGAATCCCACTCCTTGGAATTTACCCAAAGAATACAAGTTCTCAGATTCAAAAAGACATATGCACCCCTATGTTTATCCCAGCACTATTTATAATAGCAATAAATGGAAGCAACCTAGGTGTCCATCAGTAGATGAATGGATAAAGATGTGGTACATATACACAATGGAATACTATTCAGCCATAAGAAAGAAACAAATCCTACCATTTGCAACATGGATGGAGCTGGAGGATATTATGCTCAGTGAAATAAGCCAGGTGGAGAAAGACAAGTACCAAATGATTTCACTGATCTGTGGAGTATGACAAGGCAAAACTGAAGGAACGAAACAGCTGCAGCAGACTCATAAACTCCAAGAAGGGACTAGTGGTTACCAAAGGGGAGGGGTGGGTAAGGGTGGGCAGGTGGGGAGGAATTAGGGGATTAAGGGGCACTATAATTAGCACACACAATATAGGTAGGTAACGGGGAAGGCAGTATAGCACGGAGAAGACAAGTAATGACTAGCATCTTACCACGCTGATTAGACAGTGACTGCAATGGGGTGTGGGTGGGGACTTGATAATATGGGTGAATTTTGAAACAACAATGTTGTTCATGTGAAACCTTCATAAGACCGTATATCAATGATACTTCAATAAAAAAAAATAAGGCCTAGAAGATGCATGTCAGAATATTAACATCAGTGATGGAAATATAGATTATTTTTCATTTCTCTTTCATAATTTTCAATATTATTCAATTAAAAATATTTAAGGGCTATGTATTATTTTTGTAATTGGCCAAAACTATAAAGCTATCTGTACCAATAGAAGCAACACAATATTCTAACCTTACTTCTTATTAAATGATTTTATAAATCAATCCTTATCAGTAATGATAGAATTTCTTCATTTTTAAATGACAGCATAATATTCCATTATTGGATGTACCATAATTTCTTTAACCAGTCCAATATGACAGATAATCAGGTGTACTCAATTTTTTGCTGACACAAATAAAGACAAAACAAATAAATAACCTTGCTCACTGGTCTTTGTATGTACACATGAGTGGAGATAAATTCCAAAATGCCTTCCCCAGATATCTACATTTTAATATTCTTTCAATAATGTATAAATGACTGTTCTTATTTCAAGTGAGGTTGGGCATCTTTTTATAAATTAAAAAAATCCTTATTTATTTTACTGTAGTTTGTCTATTCACATCCATTCCCATTTTTGTTAGGTTATTAATTTATTACTGATTGATATATAGAAACTTCATGTTAAGTGAGGAAATCTCTATCTGTCCTATGCTACAAACTTTTCCTAGTTTGTCATTTGTGTTTTGATAATAGTGTGTATGTAGTTGTTCATATACCTATATATGCTATGTATATGTACATACACATCAATATGTGTAAGTGTACATATATATGTATGTGTGTATATATATATATATAAATACACATACTCTGTCACGCAGTTTATTATTATTATGAAAAAAAAGTCTTTTTTTTCTAGGTACTTTACAGATCCATTTTTTAATATTTAAATCTTCGATCTGCCTGGAATTTATTTTGGTATAAGGAAATGAGGTTTGGACCCAAATTCATTTTTCTAGATGGCAACCCATTTCTCCTAACATCATGTACTTAATAATCTACTATGCACTCAGCAATAGTCACCATTTTTTATTGTACTCAAATTTCTATATTCTGTTCTTTTGGACCTTTATGATAATAGGCTATTTATGTGCTAATAGAGGTTTATATTATTTTTTGGTATCTTTTTGCACAGCTCCCCTTCTTATAGTTTTTCCATGGGCATTCCGGATGCTTATTTTTCCACATGAAGTTTAGAATCAATTTTTCCAGTTTCAAAGAAATAATGTGCAGAAGTCAGGCACCCAGGTAGCCTCCTACCCTTGTATAGTCCTCCTGCACAATGTATCAGAGTTGGTAGGCTGACCAAGAGAATACAGAAGAGACATAATGTGACTTCCTACAGTAGGTCATGAAAGCCATTGCTATTTCTGCCTTGGATCAGCCACTCTGGGGAAAGCCAGGGTCCATGAGGGCACTTAAGCATCCGTACGTGGAGATCCACAGGCAAGGAGCTAACACCTCCTGCCAACAGTCAGCAATAACTTACCAGCTATGGGAATGAGTCATCTTGGAAGCACAGCCTCCAACCCCAGTCACTCCTGAGATGACTGAGCCTTCGTCAAATCGTAAGAGATCTCCAGAATTGTCCAGCTAAACTGTTCCTCAAATTCCTGACTCACAGAAACTGAGATAATCAATGTTCATTTGTGTTTAAGTGATTAGGTTTCAAGGTAATTTGTTATGCAGCAACAGATAACTAATCCACTCTTGTTCATGTTTGTACTGGCATTTGTGTTAAATTAAAAACTTTCAGGAGAACCAATCTCTTTACACTAACAGGTCTTCCTATTCTACACCTTTTCATTTATTTAAGTCTTTTGTGTGTTTCTCAATAGCATTCTAAAGGTTTTTTTTTTCATAGATTTAAGTCTTTCATCATTTTTTTGCCATTAAAAATGGATTTACTTTCTGCGAGTATACTTTGCAACAGGTTGTTGTTTGTAGGAAAGGTATTATATCCAATCACCTTTCTGAATTCTCCTACATTTTGGTATGAGGTTTCAGTTGATCGTTTTGGATTTTCCAGGTATACAGTCTTAGCCTCTGTAAATAATAATACTTACTTTTATAATTTATTTCTATCTAATTTTTCCAGCTGATATTTCCAGGATAATAATAAACACAAATGGTGATGTTTTACCTTTAAATGAGTTGATGGCTTTGGCTTAGGAGAGAAATACTCATCTATTCCCATTTTATTACGAGTTTTAGTCAAGAAAGGGATTTTAATGTTATACAGTACCTTCCCAGCAAGTAATCAAATAACTTTCTCTTAAGATACATTATAAACAGTACATTATAGTAACAGGTTTTTCTAATTGAATCATTCTTAAAATGGAAAAGTCTTTATAATACTTTCTATATCTATATCACCCATGTGAATAAGCTTTTATTTCAAAATGAATACAGGCTCTTTATTTCAGTTAAAACAATAAAACCATTATACTTTGAAATAGGAAAATACTTGCCTTTTTCTCTGCCTCTCCTTCCCAAATTCTAACAAAAACACAGCCATAATTTTTTTGTTTTAAAGCTCATTCAATGATGACATTTTACATGTAATTAGCTGACTTCCAAAATAAGTCTAATTTGTCATTACCATCTACATTTAAAAATTAATAAAAATGAAACCTTCTAATAATCTAATATAATTTTGACTCACCTGTTTTGTCTCAAAAGGATCATATGGCTCAGTATTGACCTCTTGATGTGCTATATTCCAAGACAGCTTTGGAGCAAAACAAACACTTAGATCCAATGTCTCTCTATTGCTCTAGTAAAATAAATCCATCATGTTATAAGACATGCTCTCATTTATGAGATGCTCCAATTTTTTCAAGGTGTTTTTTTGGGAGAAAATTAGATAATATTCTATGCTTTCTACAAATACCTCTATCAAGAAAGAGCTATCACTTAGAATTAGTAAAAATGAAAATGAGTTTTATTATTCTTAACATATTTTTTCAAAGTGGGATAACCCAATAAGGCTTTCATGAATTCATATCCTAGAAAGTTAACTAAAGTTATTCTCATGCTTGGTTGAAAGGAACTTTTAATCACATCCCTCTTCATTCTGTCTGCTTGCCTCTTTAAACCCCTTCACTCATCCCATTTTGAATGGAGAAACTCCTCTTTTTCCTTCTCTTGGGAGCTACCTGTGCAGAAAGCACATTTTTCCTTCCTTCTCAATGCAGTAAGTCCTACAAGGCAGGAACCCCAAGCTGGGAGGCCCCCTGGTCCAGCACTGCTCTAAGTGGGTGGCTCAGCTGGTGTGTTGCAGGCTTCACTGTTAGGACATACATTTTCTACAGAAACAGCCCTATCTTCCTTAGTGCATCTTTACTAATTAAGGTGATGCTCTGGTTCCATCTGCTGATTCTTCTATCTTATTTCTCAATTGGTGCAAAACTTGGGTTAGACCCCAAAATTCTGACAAGATGGTCTTTTCTTAAAACATTTTCAGGCAAAAGCTTTAGTAACCATTATAAAGTCAATCATTTTAAAGAACTTTAGTAAATAAAAGGGCAGTAAAAAAAATGAGAAGGAAGAAAACTTTAGTAAGAAAACTTTTTTCCTTTTGATTCTTACCTGCATGGAAACCATCTGTGTCTGTGGGATATCTGTTACTTCATCAGTACTTTCTGGATTTACTTCCCACTTGTTGACAGAGTTTCCAGAGTGACCATCAATTCCGCTAGACTCAGTATGGGCTCCATCAGCATCATCTGTATTGCACTGTGGCTTTACCAGCATTCCCAAAGAATCCTGAAGACTCTGTGTTTTGAAGGCAATCTGGCTGCAGGGGGCATTCTCAGCATTTGAATGATGACCCTCAAAATGCCCAGCAGCACTTTTATCCGGTCTGTGACTGGCTACAGAAGATGGCATCACTGGTGATCTCTGCAGCTGATACTCAGGAGAAATGCTAGTCAGAGGTGTGTAAATGTTAGTGTACTGAGGCAAACTCGGTATCACGTTTATATACGTTGGTGGTGTCTGGGTAATGTCGAATCCACGAAAGGGAAGATACGTACAGTATCCTGTGACCAAGTGGGGTTGAGCCCAATAGGTTGGTTTCACATCCTCAGGAACTGGTTTGAGAGAACTGGGGGGGACTCCCTTTTGACCTGCATCCTCAGGTACTGGTTTGGGAGAATCAGAAGAGACCCCTTTGGGCTTCTCGTCCTCAAAAACTGATCTGGAGGATCTGTCGGACACTGGTTCCAGCTTCGCAGCTTCACAGGCTGGTTTGGGAGAAACAGCAGATACAGTTTTGGGCTTCACGTCTTCACAAGCTGGTGCTGAAGATAAGTCAGACGCTGGTTTGGGATTTACATCTGGTTTAAACTCCCTAGCAGTTGGATTCAGTGGTAGTTTGACTCGTAAGTACTCCCCTGTTTTTACAATTTCTTCTACTTTTGTCTTAATGTTTTTCTTCTTTCTCTTTTTCTTGAGTCGTAATGCAACTTTCTTCAATGCAATACAGTTGTCAATCACAACAAAGCGAGGACATCCCAGTAGAAAAGACTTTAAACCTCCAGCCTTTTCTAGTATCTGTTGAGTTTCTTCTGGGAAGAATTCATATTCTTCAGAGAACATTTTGTTACTCATGTCCAAGGGACCATGTTCCTCCAGCAACTGAGAGAAATAACTTGGAAAAAATTTACACTTACATGTTATTATAAGGAATGTTCATTTGAGAAAAATATGTCCCAAAAGATTCTCCCAAAGCAAAGTACTACTTCATTTCATTTCTAAATGCTCTCAACACCTCCCCAAACATATCATACTCACATTAAACCTGAGAAAGGCTAACTGTAATCAATGATACTATAAATAAAACTGTTTACCCCTCAGAAAATAATACTTCAAAAAAAATTTTTGGGAAAAAAAGGGACTAAAAAGTTATTTTAATAATTTCAATTAAATAATTATACAATCTACTTAAAAAGCAAGAAAATTTACTCAAGAAAAATAATATCAGTAACAAGAATGTCAAATAAGAAGAGGAAATCAAATTTCAAAAAAAAATCCTACTGGAATTTGCATATAATCAATCTATTAAAATTTTTCTGTTTGGGAATATGCAATGATTCAGAGGTACTAAAATGTCTGATCAATAAACCAAGACAATATAGAATCAGATCCACAGAAACAGGGCTGATCCCTCAATCAATTTCTAGCTCTGAAAGGCATTTATTCATTCCAGTTCTGGGGCTATTTTCTTTTCCATTCTTGTGTCAGTTGAAATGCCAAGCAAATTATATTTCCAGAGAACTCGTGGATGGCAATGTGAAAGCAGCTATAAAACTACACTAGTATTTCTTAAAATACACTGGACTTGGTGCTTCTAGCATCCAAACTGAAACTAAACTATAGTTTACCATGAAGAGGGATCTAAGATCACATAGAAATGATGCAACTGAGGGAAACAGAAGACATGACTAAATTATGGGTGGGTGACAGGCTTTCCAAGAGAATAATTAGCTTTCAAATTAATCTTCATGGCAGATCTTAGCCCTCAATTTCTTCAGGAAGGCATTAGGCACTAATATAATGCCAAGCTCAAAATGGTGACTGCTTCCTAGATTTTACTGAACTCTTTTTTCCATTATTTTATCCACATCACTCAGACTTAATTATTAATTTGACATTCAGTTTCAATCCAAAAGCAGCACACACCCTGAATTATTGAAAAAGAAGTCTATTATTAGATCAATGTCAGAGTCAAGTCCCCAGTACAACACAGAGATAAAGGCCCTCTATCTGTATTACAATTCCAGCTAAGTAACCATCATCTTAGCAGAAGTAATATCGGGATCCTGCTATCCTTCCCTAATAAAAAGTTAATACTTCAAGAAGCTATATTTCTTGTCACTGGATTTATGAGATGCCAAACAAGTGCATCCATCAACATAAGGACAATGAGAACAATCAGTCACACTACCTACTGTCAGATATACAGTAGTCTCCCATTATCCATAGGGCATATGTTCCCAGACCCCAGTGGATGCCCAAAACCATGGATAGTACCAAACCCTAAATATATTATGCTTTTTTTCTATATATGCATGCCTATAATAAAGTTTAATTTAAAATCAGGCACAGTAAGAGATCAACAGTAACTAATAATAAAACAGAACAATTAGCAATAGACTGTAATAAAAGTTATGTGAATATGGTCTCTCTCACAGTATCCTTCTATGCTATATTGACTCCTCTTGTGATTGCATGAGATGACAAAATGCCTAATGATGAGAGGAACTGAGGTGAATGACACAGGTACTGTGACAGCACTAGGCTACTACTGACCTTCTACCCAAGCAGGATTATCTGCCTCTGGACCACAGGTAACTGCGGGTAACTGAAACCTCGGAAAGCAAAACCACAGAAAAGGGAGGACTACTGTACACCTTGGCATTCATGATTAAAAAGATTATGTCTGGAAACTATTAGTCCTAAGAGGACCAACTAGGACAGTTCTGGAAGTAGGAAGTACCTACATTAGCAACTCAAACTGACAGAACTAATAATCATTAGGATTCTAAATTTAGTGATTAAAAATCCTCAATTAACTTTGTGTATACAAGAAAAAGGCTTTAAAAATACTTTTCTTCCCCAGAGTTTACAAGCCAATAGATAGCTTCTTTAAAATAAACATAAGGGACACAAATTAAACAACTTTAAGATCTTTAATTGGCAGCCTCCGTATAAAATAATAGTTGTAGAAATGTTAAACTACTTACTCATACAGAGTTGAACATTTCTGTTTTGGGTTAATGTCCCACAGCTTCTTATTACGGACAACATATTCATTACTTTGCTGTTCATAGAGAGCCTCAAATTCTTCTACATCTTGCCGAAGATGATCAGGCACTACAAATGGGCCTGCAGAATTTGAACTGCGCCTGCTGATAAAAGATTTTATGAATAAAAAATTTGGGGGCAAAGCAGAAAATACTTAAATTGCAAAAAGCATATTACTCAGCTTCACAATGCAAAAAAACACTTCCTGAGAATTAAATGCAGAAAAGTTACCCTTCCACAGTCACAGTCAAGAGATATACACCTGAGTACTGAAAAAACACATTTAATTATTTATTCTTGCAACCAACAATTTTTTTAACTCCTTGTTTTAAAAAATATATCAATATTGCATTAATTTAACTTGTTAAAGAGAAAAATAGAAGATTATTTTTATAAGTTACTAATTAAAGCTACAGATTGAGGCTGGTGAAAAGGTACTTAATAAAAAGATTTATTAAGAGTCTAAGAGTCTAGCATTCTACAATGATGTACTATTTTGAGTGTGGGCTCTAAAACCAGATTGCTGGGTTTAAATCCCATTGCTGCTATTTATGAGCTTTGTGTTCTTGGACATATCACTCAACTATACTGTACTGAGTTTCTTTATCTGTAAAATAGACTTAATAATAATATTTATCTCAGGGTAGAACAGTAGATTAAATGAGTTTATATATGTAAAGCCCTTAGAATAGTGCCTGGCACATAAGTATTATCTAAGTATAGGATATTATCATTTTAACTTAAAACAATCCTCCATTTAAAGAATCCATGCAAATAACTGTATAAAATAGTTGTTACAACTCAAGAAATGTGAAAAGAAAATACTGTGGTTTTTTAGTCCATAAAGGAATATGATATTAAAGGGTCACCACTAATCACTAGCTTTATTTATTCTTATGTCTATTTGTTTCTTGAAAACTCAGTGTCAACAACCAGATGCCACTGAAAATCACTAACATCTAAGGTTAAACTGTAACATCACATACAGCTTCCTCTCTCCTTTTATAGCAAATGTGCTACTAATTATCAATAGGACATTCTCTTTATTGAACATTTTAAATAATATTTTCTAGGAGTTTCTGAGAGTATCTTGCACATAGTGGGTTCTCTTGATAATAAGTAGGTATCTCTTGATAATAAACCTATCAAGTGAATGTCATCAGCCCTATGATTTTTTTTTTGTATCATTAATCTATAATTACATGAGGAACATTATGTTTACTAGACTCCCCCCTTCACCAAGTCCCCCTCAACAAACTCCATTACAGTCACTGTCCATCAGCATAGTAAGATGCTGTAGAGTCATTACTTGCCTTCTCTGTGTTGCACATCCCTTCCCATGCCCCCCCTCCACACATTATACATGCTAATCGTAATGCCCCCTTTCTCCACCCCCCTTATCCCTCCCTTCCCACCCATCCTCCCAAGTCCCTTTCCCTTTGGTAACTGTTAGTCCATTCTTGGGTTCTGTGATTCTGCTGCTATTTTGTTCCTTCAGTTTTTTCTTTGTTCTTATACTGCACAGATGAGTAAAATCATTTGATACTTGTCTTTCTCCACCTGGCTTATTTCACTGAGATAATACCCTCTAGCTCCATCCATGTGATTGCAAATGGTAGGATTTGTTTCCTTCTTATGCCTGAATAATATTCCACTGTGTATATGTACCACATCCTCTTTATCCATGCATCTACTGATGGACACTTAGGTTGCTTCCATTTCTTGGCTATTGTAAACAGTACTGCAATAAACATAGGGGTGCATCTGTCTTTTTCAAACTACACTGCTGTATTCTTAGGGTAAATTCCTAGAAGTGGAATTCCTGGGTCAAATGGTATGTCTATTTTGAGCTTTTTGAGGAACCTCCATACTGCTTTCCACAATGGTTGAACTAATTTACATTCCCACCAGCAGTGTAGGAGGGTTCCCCTTTCTCCACAACCTCACCAACATTTGTTGTTGTTTGTCTTTTGGATGGTGGCTATCCTTACTGGTGTGAGGTGATACCTCATTGTGGTTTTAATTTGCATTTCTCTTATGACTTAGCAATGTGGAGCATCTTTTCATGTGTCTGTTGGCAGCCCTATGATTTTAATGCAGTTTGTATGAATTCGTTTTTTTTAATTAATTTATTTATTTTGTTGTCATTAATCTACAATTACATAAAGAGTATTATGTTTACTAGGGTCCCCCCTTCACCAAATCTGTATGAATTCTTAATATCAACAAGTTATGCTATAAATTCAGCCAAGATAGGTCACATGAGGTTGTCATCATAGAAGAAGCTAGAGAAATAACACACTTGACAGAGAAGCTAGAGAAAAAGCACATTTGAATTAAAAGAAAGCAACAGTGTTTAAATTGGACTTACTTAAGGTCTTCACCTGAAGTGACAGTCTCATTATTTGGTGTTACTGAAGTTGTCCCAGACCCCACTAACATAGGCTGGTTTAAAAGACAGAAAAATGACCATGATTTTCTACCTTAAAATTCCATGACAGAAAAAAAAAAACTGCCATTAAAACTGATGAATGCTTAAATAAATATGCACATAAATTTCTAATATATGAAATTTATCAAAATCTTGTGAACGTACAGTAATAAAAGTTTAAATACCTGCAAGTTGTCCCAAATTAACATTTAGGTAGCTTCCAAGCTGTTCTCATCACCCCCAAATATTTATTCCCTTTCTCAACCCCTCCCCCCACTACCTGAGCCCCACATGCCTGAAAGCCAGGAAGAACCTACCTTAAGACTTAAAAATAATGCCCTATTTAGCTCCCAGGCTTGGAGTAGAGCCTCAGGTGAGAGGAAGGAAGGGATCCTATCAATGCTGAGAGACTGTTATGATGATTAGTATTGACCATCTTTATTTTAATTTTAGATAGTAAACATTTGAACAAAATTTCAACAAAACTTTTTGAATACTAGAAATTATTATTCTGCTTTCTTATGAACCTAGAAAATTCCGTTTAGTAATAACAGATGGCAATTACTAAGCATTTATTAACTAATAAGCATAACTCTATTATTAATAATAGGTATCACCATTATTCCTGTCATACAGATGACACTAGAACATAGTCAAGTAACTTGCCTAAGGTCACACAGATTGATAATAATAATAATTATTATTATAATAACTGATAGAACCAAGACATGAACTCAGGTCTGCCTGATCCCAAAGCTGCCTTGGCCACTATGGCCTATGACCATATACAGAGTCCTACATTATGATAATATTTTCATATGAAAATATCTAGAAAATAAATGGACAATAAAAGTAAATGGCTCTTTCAAGAGTTACGTATATATAAAATGAACCTTATATTTCCTCAAAATGTATAAATTGCCAAAATATCTTTAGATAAAAGTCTAAAACAGGTCTTTCTCTATAGAATGCTTTAAAATGTCCCAAGAATTGGTTCATTCTAATCATATATTCAATTAATTATTTTAGACAAGCATTAATATATACCTTTGAATCTTTGGGCTTCTTTTTCTTGCCTTTGTTCTTTATCTTGGCAGAATTAAACTGAAAAAATGAAAGAAAATCAACAAATACTTAAACAACAGTATTATGAAGCTCAACATAAAGACAGCATACCATGCCAATTTTCATAGACTAGTCATTAAGTTGAATATACATGAAATGCTGAACAAAAATAATACTTGAGTATGTCAGCCCTAGCATTAAGATTTATATTAGAAGATAAGAAAAAACATAATGACACCTAATGTTATAACTAAAATTAAATTGTTTCAACATTTTAAACTCATTTTCAATACATGTCCTTTCAAGACACTAATCAGGCTTTCAAATTCCAGTTATATGCTACTAACAATTTAATGATATTCCTTTTACTAAGCCAAATGAGACATTCTGTACCTGGCCAGATACTGGGGCACAAATAGTGAACTGAGAAGAACCATTTACTTCCCACAGGGTGTGTTAGCTGTATCCATTCTTAGCTAGACACTGTTTGACACAGCAGATTAAGACAAAATTTCAAGTAGTGATAACTTGATCCTAAAAATGACTAAATGAGCATCCCTCTCTTTGAAAATTGCCACCAATTTTCAAAGGAAAGACAACCCTGGAATTATTTTAACTTAAACTCAATTTTGAGCCACTCAAAACAAAACCCCTGTTTTCCTTACACAGCAAAACATTAAAATTTTAATCATTACAGATAATTTTTCACTTTTATGACAGAAGATGACTCAAAGACTCCTTTCCTATTTCTAAGATTAACATTTATTAGTTGTAAAATTTCATGGACATTGTCTAACTTAAGCCTCAGAGTTTGCTGATTGTTGCTCCAGTTCTAAGAGGAAAACTAGCATTAACTTTCTAATGAAAGAGCAGATGTTATCCAGAAGTCCTCCAGCTCTGATTCTGGAAGGCCACCTACAATGTAAACAATCACTCGCCCAGCTCCTCCTCTCTTCCTTTGACTAGTACAAAGCAGAACAAAACATTTAAAGTGATCAAATAACTTACAGGCAAGTCTCCACTGTCTTGTTTCCTTAATACAGTACAGCGGCTATCTGTAGGAAGACAAAGATGCTTTTGTGAGAAAATAAAGTATTTACGTTGCCACACAATACACTAAAGCCTTGAAGAAAACCACCCAGATTCTACTAACATTGACTGTGCTCTACTCCTTGTTTTGCTTTGACACAAGTTTAGTTTAGAAACCAAAATGAAAATGGCTAATTAAATGGGAAACCAACTACAAAGAACCACAAAATACTGATCCAATTCAGCATAATTTAAGTACCTTCTAGGTGTCAAACTCTATGTGGTGCTGGGAACAGAGAAGAGAACAGTCCCTGCCACAGATAAGCCTGTGTTCTACAAAACAAACAGGCAAATACCTGTAATCGTTTGCTTCGTCCCGGCATAAATACAATGGAAACAAAGCTGATGGAATAATAGTCTCCAAGAGGAGAGGCCCATAGAGGGGTCAGGGAGAGTTTTGGGGAGGAGGAAGTATTAAAGGTAGACTTCAAATGAGCAAGCAAAGGGGTGGGACATGGCTAGAGGAAATGCATGAGCTAAGATAGGAGGCAGTAAAGCACAAGGCAGGTTTGGGGACACTAAGAAGTAGGGTGCACATTGAAAGGGCAGATGGGGAGTGATGAACCTGGACAGATGATGTGAACTTAATGTGTAAGCCAAACGAAGCAAGGGTTTCCCACGCAGAGTAACTACAGGATTAGACAGATGGTTGAGCAGCAAATAAGAAGAAGATTTGGAGTGGAAGGTCTAGAGGCATGAAGAACAGTTTGAAGGCACCTGTGATAGTCTAATCATGGGAAGATTACTAAGGTTCTGGCCCAGGGAAGTGGACATGGACAGGAAAGGACGGATCAAAGATGAAGCTTATTTTGGTGACAAACTAGACATGGGGTAATAGGGAAAAAGAAGAACTGAGACCAATTCCTGGGTTTCCTGCTTAAAAATAAGATTTACAACAATGTTATTAACTGAGATAACTTTAGGAAAAACAAGTCTCCTGGAACTTGAGAGTCTTTGACCATATTGCTGTTGAGGGACCTTTTTTGGCTATTCACACAGAAATGCCAACAGGGAAATAGGCACACAGAGCTCAGGAGAAAGTCTGGGGCTCCGAATTACCACAGCACTGGTGACATTACTGGATACCTTTAATACAAGATCAGTGGTGGATTTTGAGAACTTTTAAGAAATACAATCATTCCTTAAATGAGAAGAGATAAAACTGAAAATGTCCGGGGTGAGGGTGCGAGGCAGAGCTACTGGACCTGAACATCTGCTGGGATAGCCAATCATTTGGTTGGGGGCTTCTGACTCTATGACTAAAAGCGGAGAAACAGTCAGTGGACTGTGTATTTTAGGTACCAAACACAAGAATCAGGCAACGGCACACAGAGAGGGCACTGTGTCCTTTTAAGTTGTCTTGTTGTGTGATCCAAACATGCATCGGTTTTGTAAGCTCAGTCCCAAGACAGCATTTTATTACCAGCAGCAGCAAACTGATGGTAATAAATTCAGGCTATCAAGTAGCATGTCACCTCATCATGAAGCTGTGTCCTGGAAAAATAAAGCCATCTGTATCTGAGTATGCTCTTTCCTAGTAACTGCAACAAAAGTAAGCTTTTCAATTCCTTGTACTACATTTCAATTTCGTAATGTGACACTTTTCTACAAGGCCAGACCTTTGAACGTACCCTTTAAAAAAAAGCACAAAATTTAACAGTCTAACTCTTGACAATACGCAGACTTCTGATGCGGAGGCAAAACAGAGGGGCATTATCACAAAACACTTCATACTAAAGATAAATTAAAATTAATTAAGAATCTAAGAATATTAGAATTTGAAGCAAATCAGGACCATACAGACCACTGGCTTCAAATTCTACCATTTTAGGGATGAAGAAACTAAGACCTAAGAAAATCAAGGCATTAACTACTCATTATCCTCTTCTGCCAAGCTGAAGTCCATGCCAGTACCCAAACAGGTCCCCCAATGTCCCTCCACCCTATGTCTCTAAGCCCCAATATAAGCCTGCCCACCTCCGCTCCCATGTTCACAGTCCAGCTTGGCCTCTGCCCCTGCACCAAGGCTTTCTCCTCCCCGGGGAGAATTCAAGTGCTTGGTCTTCTGTCTGTACCCCCAGCACTCCTTAGTCCTCTCTTACTACTGAGCTTATTCCCATATAACAGTTATTCCCATATAACAGTTATATATAACTTATTCCCTTTTCTAGAACATAAGGTCCTTGAGGGCAGGGACTAGCATAAACATCTCTGAATTCCTGTTAACACCTAGCGTGGGACCTTGAAGTAGTAACAAAAACAAGGTTTTTAATAAACTGACATAGGGAAGAAGCTGGGGGTGGGGCCACAGCCTACATTTCCTGACCCCTAGTTCTAGGCTCTTCTAACAGACATGCTACCTGTTTTAGATTCTGCAAACATCACCTACTTCTGCAGGCCAATGTTTTCTTGAATGTTAGAGATCAAACTCTATTTTATATCAAACTTTATTTCCTAATAAATTCTGTCCATGTAGTAAGCACTCTTGCCATGATACATATCTAAGATGAGGATAGTATGTCAAAACATCTAAAATGAGAATGTATGATGTGTAGTCAGTGTGATGTACCAATCTTAAGTATCTCTCCAACACTTAGCTCAACAGAGTAAAAAGGTTTTATAATCACTGTTTTTAATTAGTAACTTCCCCCAAATAAATGGGTTGTACCATAATACTATTTTCTTTGTAAAGTATTTAAATTAAGCTATGTTTTTCACAGATTTCTTTCCTAAGGTTTTCAATATAAATTGAAACTTGGACCACATACCCATTATATCAAAGAATTCATCTAAAGCATTATGCAATGCTGGGAATTTGTCTCTGTGTTCTTCAAGCAGCCATATTAAACATCGTGCCTCCTTCAATGATGCTGGCTGGCAGAAATAATCAAGTTGCTTTCCTTCTATAGAGCCTAGTTTATGACCATATTTCTCATTCCAGAGAAATGTCATGATGCTAAAATCAAGTTCCTTAAGAGAAGCTCCGTGACGAGAGAAAAAAGGTCCTGTGGCATCTAAGCCTGTAAGAAAAAAACCCAAGTAAGAAGGGAAAATTATTTACTGTAAAATCACATTCAGTTTTACATCTCTGAAAGTGGTTCCATTATAGTTTGCTCATATTTTCAGCAAAAACATTTAAATACCTGAATATAAATTTTTTCAAGCTATTTTGCATTTTAGAAACACCATTTAACACTGATATGCTAATTATAATTCTTATCTACTAGCTAAATAAGGTGGGCCAAGGGCATCTATTATTATAGTTTTTATTAGACTTAGGCAATGAAAGGCATTAAATTCCTTTAAAAGAGTAACAGTAACTTTTTTTACTAATTGAAAATGACTTTCATTCAAATTAGCAAGATGTTACAATACTTTTTCTACATATATCCCAAAACAAAACATCAGTAATACATAAAAGCTTCTTAAATGCCTTTTTAAAATAGGACATGGGTAAACCTCCCCAACACCAGAATGAACTGCTCTTTATCACAACCTGAGAATAGTGTGGTTTCTGACCCTCCTCACAAAAATCAGGGTGGTTACTATTCCCAGTTTTATTCCTCCTTCTATAAATCAGAAAAAGGAGTGGCTGCAACTTCACACACTGCTCCTGAGAGGGTGGTGAGCCCCTGCTCCTTGCTAACACAGCCACCAAAAAGCAGAGATTAACTTCATTCTATCTCCCCACAGACCTTGTAACACAGCACTGGTGCCTCTTACGTTGGCCACAAATTCTCAGTCAGCAAATGAAGAGCTCTGCTCAGTCAAAATTACCCTGGACTGCTGTTTCTCCCAGATGAAACAGCATGTGGAGGTTACATTGCATGAAAAGTTGGTATCTTTAAATACCAGACCAGTGATGACATAAAACACTAATACAACAGAAGGTTTAAGGGACTGTCAATGAGAAAATAACCACATTCACATCTCCCATTTAAGGTTCACATCGGAACATGTGCAGTGAGGGGAAGGCAGGCAGATTACTGCTAGGACTGCAATGTTAAACACCGCCCCCGCCGCCAGCATATAAACTGACCTTTCACATTAAATATGCAAGATGTGATGCTCTGTACAGACTTTCTGTGATAAGGGAGTTAAACTCATTCCAGGAACTAGAAATCACTTGCTTTCAATAAATACATAAGCCTTACATCAGGGCTATAGTACAACCTTACTTATTTAGATGCTCAAACTCGTTTTACACTTAGTATTACACATATGTACTTATTAAATGTACCTGTAATCTTCAGAATAAATGTTCATTGTATTAAGGGGACACATTCACATTGTCCTGTCAATGAGCTGTAAGGCTCAATGCTACCAGTTACCTGCATGAACAGTGGCAGGCACTCTTGCCCAGGTAAGCATAACCAGAGAGCCTACTTCTCTTGAGTCTATCTTCTAAAGCAGATTCAAGTAAGAAATGACATTATAATTTATTTATCTGATAACATTAACAGATGCTAATGACAATCCTGTCACTTGAGAGTAATTTTCTTGACCAGAGACCCATGGAGACATATGCTCCCAGGAGCAACATTGAGCTATGAACTAAGCCAAGCTTGCTGCCATCTTACTCTGTTTCTACTGACAGAACTGTTACCAACATATTCTCTGGAACCATAGAATTCTAACAGCTCCATGTCTCTAAACCTTAGGCAGGTCAAGGTGGCTCACAGAGGCTGTGGCTCCTGCTGACCTTTTATCCAACAGCTGCCAATGAATCATCTATCATGCAAGGCCAGTTGCTATCATGGTCACCAAGTTAAACAGTGCCCTAGTAGGTACCCAAAGAAACCACTTCTTATGTTAGACACCAACTCTATCTGCAGCTGTCTTCTGCAGTTCCTGCATGGCCTTGGACAAGAGCCTGCTTGAGTGGGGTGTTCCTCAACCAGTTAGGAAAATTAGGACACAGTAACATCGTTTTATAATTCTGTAATTCACAAGAGCCTAGTTCAACCCCAGGGTATTTTTTTCATAATCCTTAGATACAGATTTGCCTTAGATGAGCCTTAGTTCCATCTTCCCTCTAAATTTTTTATTAAGGATTCTACCACAACTGCATAGGCCCAGAGGGCACAGCACTGATACCCAACTCCAGGGGTGCTAATGACTCACGGCTGGGCCAAGTATTCAAACAGTTTACACATTCACAAACGGTTTAGTATAATACAGGAGTGGATTTTCTAATTGACTGAATTTTCTTATGTTTGCACCTTTAGAAAAAGTATATTGTAACCTAGCTATAAAGTAACCTAAAACCTGTGACTTGGGAGGAAATAGTATTTTTAACCATGACAACTTGTAGTCCCTACATTTAAAAAAATCGAAAATCATAGGAAAATTAAAAAGGATTTGGAGGCCTATGTTTACCCTTCCTATTAAACTTCAGCTCTAGAATTCAGTGGCATACCAAAGCTGTTAAGTTTCTGGATCCAGGCAGCTAATTTTGGCTCCACTTCTTTAAGCTCACTCAGTACATGCAGAAACATCCTGGTCTTTACTCTATTCTTTTCTTGAATCAGGTGATGAATGACATAGTCCACTGCTTCATTTAGAAAATTTCTGCTTGAAAAACAGGTTGTGTAGTCTTCTGTGCTTAAAACCTTCCAAGAAAGCAATTCTTTGAGAAGCTTGGAAGTATTCAGTATACCGGATTTAATCTTGTCAGCATACTGCTTTATGCACTGCAGAATTCTGTCATCAAGGAACTGGCAACTCTGAACACTGTCTATGGTTTCTAAGGATAAAAAACAGTGGTCAGTTTAAGTGAGAAACAGGACCAATGTGTAATGATATAAACTCAGAAAGAATAATATAACATTACATAACAAAACATGACTCAGATTTGTAATATTGTTTTATTAAATATACAAGAAGTCTTATATTAGGAATATAAATATTTGATAATACCTCTGAAAAGATGAAAGTTCACATTAAACCAAATATATAAAAAATAAATATCTTACCTCTTTCATTCTGTATCACTCACATAACATCTACAAACTTAGTTCCACTAAAAGGTTACTTTCTTCAAAAATCCTAACCCAGCCTCATCGCCTATTTAAACTTTATAGTCAATAAATTGGTTTAGTCAGTAAGAATACAAAGTTTTTCGGGAGTTGAAGGGATTCATTTATTCACTTATGAATTCAACTAATAGTTGGTAATTAATGTTATTTCAGCTTATCATTGGATCCTAAATCAGACACCTGTGGAGCTGTTGATTCCAAGCTGGAAAATATCTCAGAAGTACATGTTCCCACCCAGGCATCTCCCTAGTGGATGGCCATTTTTAGTGTCTTGAAGCATGCCAAGTTAAAATACGAACATCACTAAAAACTTGTTCAGTAGGAACAGTAACTTTGATTGATTTGTGAAACATTAATGGAATATTAGATGAAAGACAAAGACAACAACAGGAAATATTCCACTTTGGGAATAGCCATCATGGTAGCAAATGAGAATAACTTAACTTTAATGCAAAACTCACAGCAGCCCTGGGGGGTGTAACGTGCAGCATGGTGACTACAGCTAATTGTACTGCAGTGCATATTTCAAAGTAGCTAGGAGAGTGGATTTTGAAAGTTCTCATTATGAGGAAAAAAATTTCTGTAACTATGTGTGGTGATCACTGTTAACTGGGCTTACTGCGGTGATCATTTTACAATATAAACAAACACTGAATCATTATGCTGTACACCTAAAACGAATACAATATATTATGTCAGCTATATCCCTCAAAAAGAAAAGAATTCAATTAAAAAAAAAAACAAAAAACCTGAAAGTAAATATATCCACAGAAACTGTAAAATTACCAAGACATTCCGATGTTAGCCAGGTTATGATGACAAGATGAGCATAAAAGAGGGTTGGACTAGGTAATCTCTTTGGCAACTTTTATGAACTGCTTCTTTAGCTGAACCAGTTAAAATTACTTTAGCATTACTTCAAGTAATTAGTAGCTAATTTACTGTTCAGTGTTCTGGACCTTAAATCCACAGAGTGGAGTTTACAGAGTACTTTCAAACAACAATATGCATGTCAGATATTATTTCCACCTTCACTTCAAGGCTGAGGACACTCTGACATGGAGTTTGTGCCCCAGTTAGTGGCAGGGTAGCATTCTGAATCCTCATATACTTCTTCCAAATTCAGTACTCTTTACACCAAGCCCTTCCCCATCTCGGGGTAACAGAAGACAGTGATAGTATTAAACTGCTAACTGAAATCTAAATTTCAATTCAATAAAAATAGGAAGCCCAATAAGATAAATATATTTTTCTTTTTGCATTTTTTTTCTTTTGGTATCATTAATATACACTTACATGAGCAATACTGTGGTTACTAGATTCCCCCCATTAGATGAATATTTACATTTATGCTTTTAAGCAAGAATATATTATTCTTATCATGCTTTGGACTTCAGCATACCTTTCTGCTCTCCAGTTTTGGGGGCATTATTTTCCCTTAAGTCCTCTTCCATCCTTTCGTGTGCTAATTTTTTTGCTTCTTTCTTCTGGATCTTTCTCTTCAATTTTTTGTCCTCTTTCAGTCTTAGCTTCTCTAGGCTGATGAACATTCACAATTAGTGATAATTCACTTTTGTTATAAACTCAATTAACTATTTTCCTTTGCCTACTGTAGAAACCATTCTCCAAGCAGTAGGTTGGAAGTTCTCCTTTTCAGTTAGATCTTGGCCTACATGTTCTGTTCAGTATCAAAAATGGTTGACATATGTGGTCAATTCAATTAAAATAGGGGTATTTTGTTTCATGAAAAAAAGGACCTCAATGAGTGAGTGGCTTCTAATTAAGGATGGCGTATTTATTTCCAAGTATATGAGTTATTGCTTAGGGTAAATAGGAGTAAGTAAAATCACTGTGGAAGATGATATAAACACTCATTTCAAAGAAAGGAACTCACAGTAAAATACTATTTTCACATCTCAATAATGGCCCACTACACTGGAATTTGGTTGATATGGTTACAGTGAATTCTCCTCAACAAATAATTCTGTTCCATCTTTTCTTCTGCTTTTTCTTGGTCACCAATGATGAAAAACATAACTTCTTATAATGAAAAGCAAAAAGCAGGACCAAAAAGAGAAGGAAAAAGGATTGGAATTATTTGATCTGAATAAGAAGATACAGAAAAGTGAATAATTTTGACAGTATATTGAGTTTTTCAGGGTGAGGAATGGTTATTGGTTCAAAATGTTTGCTGAAAAGGAAAAATGCTTTTGGAATTAAAGTACAAATTAAAGTATATAGAGCTAACTATATAATTTTATTTAAATGTCAAATCTTCTAATCAAATACATCATTTCACAACATCAAATATAATTTTACTTTTAAATTTAATCCCTAAATAATGCTTGTTATTCAAGTTTTTAGTATTTATCCATTCTAGGCTAGTTCTCTTTAAGTTCAAAGTACCCATAAAATTCATTTAAAAAACATTTAGGTGTGTATACAGAGCCAATTTAAAAAAAAGCATAATTCAGAAATCCTCATTTAATAGATGTATATTCTAAGAAATATCATTAAGCTACAACTGATAGTTAAAAATCTTACCTAGAACATTTCTGTTTCAGAATAGGTCTTGGAGGAACCTTTTCTTTTACGACCTTGTGTTCAAACTTTAAATAAAAACAAAAGACATCCAAAATTTGTCTCATACTCCCAAGACATAAGCACACAATGGTAAGTAAGCATTTTAGAGGTACACACAATGTTCAATTTCAGAGAACAGTGATGATGTTCTGATCAAGACAAAAACACTTTAACAAAACAATTTACTTTTCAGTACTTTTCAGAACAAAAGAATAGACACACCTTAGGAAGAAGTTTTTTTTCAAAAAATTAAGAGTAAGAAGAAAGATCAAATAAGTTACAAATTTCATTACAACCCACGCCTGCCATTCCCATACAGTAAAGCCAAAGGTAATCCCTCAAGATTCTTCCTCCTCCCTAAGACTCCCCATCCTCCCAATACCCAAAAGTTTACTGGGGATTAAAAAAAATAGTTATCAAAAAGTAAAAGCAGTAAAACAAAAGTGTAAAAGTAAAATGTAAAAAGCTTCTTTTTTCTTGCAGGAAATAAAAGGATGTGAGAATCCTTCACTGCAGAGAAGCATTTTTACATCCTAATATTTCTTTCATTTTCTTCAATTAAGTAACTATTTCTTTCCTAGACAGCATTAGATTCAAATAATACAACTTCCACAAATGTAAATGTTTTAAAAGATATAAGCATTTTGGTTACCAATTTAGTAAGATTTCCCCTTTATTAGATACTTACTTCACATTTAACTTGTCCACCACTACTGAAAATGATAATCTTGGAAATGATTCCTTCACAGTCAGGGGTAAGACAAATTCCTTGTAGAAAATCCTGTTTGAATGAAAAAAAAAAAAGTGCTGTATCTCAGAATAAATCCATAAACGTATACTGTCTTAGCCATCAGTAACAGCTAAAATATGGTGTACAAGCTGTTTCAGGGACCACTGAAAGTTCCCGCTCACTGCCATTTGACTTTCAGAGGCTCCCTGTGGGAGGAACAGACCTCCGGCCATCAGTCTGACCAAGTGACTTGCTTTGGTGAATGCAAGGTGAGCTGACATGATGTACGGTATGTCCAAGCAAAAGCTTTAAGAAACAGTGAATGGATTGTCCATTGCTCTTTACCCTCTGCCACATGAACATGTTCCAGGTACTCTTCGACCTTAATTCAGAAATAAAGAACACAGCCCCAAAGACTACAGCTGTTGCATACCAACCCTGGCTGACAGCTACAGAACTTCAGGACAAATAATGGAAGCAAGAAATGAACCTGTCTTACTGTAAGAGATGAGGTATTTGGGTTGTATATTACTTCAGTATACTCTAGTGACTAATTTACAGAGGGCATTTCAACCCATGGGAATGGTTAAGAACACTAAGGGAGCATGTATATCTAGATAAACTCAATCAAGACAAAGACATAGTTGGAGTGACTCAATAGCAACAGTTAATTTGGTAATGTTACTGTATCTTTATGTGAAAATGTATAAAAACTGAAAAGTTATTTCTACCAAACTTGAATAATTCCTACTGCTAACAGACACATAGAGCAATGACTTTAATTTTTTTCTCAGTAAGGAAATAAAGTTTACATGAGCCTAAGGAGTGCAGAAAAAGGTTTTCTTTATGTACACAGCTTACATGTATCAGAAACAAATTCTATGGATGCAAATAAGAATACAAAATTGTGCCTCCTCTCAAAGTATACCTAGCTAATGGTAATTAATATCACTATCTTGCTAATTAAGAGAAGCCCCAATGAGAGATGGCAGCACAAAACCTAAGTTGATCTCTAAGTACAAATTATCTCATCACATTTCAGTAGAAAATAAATTTAAGACATCAATTCTACATCATAACATTAAAACCAGACATTAAAATTTTCGTTTTTGATCATAATCCCCAATGTAAAAATTGGCTGAACAATTCATTAAAGGCCTCTATAGTTATTGGCTTTATATCTGTGCAAAATAAAAACAAAAACTGACTTTCTACTTTATCATTCAAGTTTTAATTTAAAACTTTCTAATTATATCTAGAATGCAAAGAAGGGAATTCAAGATTTCTTCTGAAGATTCTCTGAGGAGTCACATATAATAGTATACACTAAGCATACTAAAAAAATCTATAGACAATTTTGTTAGCCTTACCTTGTCAATTTTATCATTATAGGCTGTAGTTTTTAACTTCTTCCAACAATTCATGTGAAATTCTATTTTACAGGTCTGGCAACAGCTGATTCGTATAAAACCCTGGGGGTTTAAAACAATTCACATGTTAAAGACGTCTACATGTATACTCTAGCTCACACTCACAATACACACAGAGATAAGAGCTGTCTATGTTCACCTGGCAGACATAACTAGACATCACATTTTCTCCTGGGGAAGTACAATCCTTCTGTACCCCAGAATGCCTAGTGCTGGAGACACAGAGCTTGAATGGCATGTTCATTCTCATAGCTTACAGTTGCATTATCCTTTACAATATCAAATAGTTTATAAATATCATTTCATCTGATTTACTAACCAGGGACAGTGGGACTGTGGGCAGTTACTATCTTCTTGAATAAACTAAGACCCAAGTAACGTATTCAATCAATTAAGTGCCAGACTTGGTTTGAGATTTAGGTTTCTATGAGTTAATTAAGTGATCATAATGGCCTTTAGATTCTTGGGCTCAAATTTTACAAGAAATTAGAATCACAACAAATCAGAGGTGACAATCACATTTTGTTTCCTGTGCTCCTAGGAAACAAGCACATTACAGAAAACACTGGCTAGAAAGAGGAAATGGAATTAACTAGCCTGCCTCCTCAGGTCCCTCCCCCTGCCCTCAGTGTTTATTCAGTGGCTCTAGGTCCCCAGTTGCAATGATGCAGACCTAAGGAAGTCCAGAGGATGGAGAGGGCATGAAACTGCTGACAAGCTGGAGAACTTGGGTGTAACCAATTATAAAATTTGTTCTGAACCCATTTAAAGGCACAATTCTGCAAGTTAATGGCCTAATACACATTCATTACATACCTTAAAGTCTGGATCAGTTATGTATATCTGGATTTTGGAATATCCACGGCACTTCTGATAACAACAAATGGCATCTGGCACTGGTGGGAATTTGCATTCTTCAATAAATTTTTCTAACATCATCTAAAACAAAAATAAACAAATATGACATAATTACAACACTAATTCATCAGTAAAAATGCTTGTGATTTTAATAACCTCTTACCATCAAAATATTTTCAGCATACGAATAACTAAGTATTTTTTAGCTAAGAACATACCACATACAACTTTTAGTTTCCCCTTTCAGAAGGAGGCCTGTCAAGAGAGAAAGATGCTCACTGGCTATCTGTGTAACTTCCTGGCAGGTTAAGTCTACTCAGGTCCTTTGGCTACTTTCTATTATTGAGTTGTAAGAGTTGACCCCTGTGCTTTTAAAAGCTTCAGCCAAAAGCAACTTCTGAGTGCCACGGTTAACTTAAAAGCCTTATCAGTCAATTCATACATTATTTAATCTTTCCAGTACTAGTAAAGCATCCTATGTGTCTGGATAAGGGAGTAAATTTTATCCAAGTCTTCAAGTACCAACTCAGTTAACTACAATAACTACAATGACACAATGCTAAACCTTCTCCAAGTACAACCAGCATGTCATATTGTTTAGTGATGCATGCTCTGAAGTCAGAACACCCAGAGGTAAGTCCCAGCTCCACCACTTACTGCCTGTTTAACCTTGAGCACATAACTTAATCTCTCTAATCTTAATCTTCCTCACCTGCAAAATGGAAACAATCAAGTATTCACTTTGTGGGTAGCTGTTAAGGACAGATGGTAATTATAATGGAAGGTGTGCTGGCACATAGGGAACATTCAATAAATGCTAGTAATTCTCACTAGTCCTTAAAGGGAAACACATGTGGGGAGCTAAGAGCACAGCACTCCTACCTCTGTCTTCTGAGATCTTGGTCAGGCAGTGCAGATGGGCTTTTCTGGTTAGTAAGAAGCTCTCTACAGAAATAGTTACCTTTATTTTTCCTGGCTGAGTCTCTTCAATAACCACATTACTTGTGGGCCAAGTTAGCACTCCTGGAAGACGACAAATCAAGGTTCTTGCTTTCTCGAAATGATTAAGAGCTTCTAGGAATCTGAAGTCATGATTTTGAAGAAAGAAGGTATTAAACATGTGACATGAATTTTCATTCCCCACAACAAAAGCCATGGAGATTTCAAGCTTACTAGTAAGGAAGAGTACATTCAATAAATCAATGCACAGAAATATTCAACATAACCTATGTATTTTTTTAAAAAAAAGGTATTATTCCTGTTTGTATAGAAGTAATATAAGCTAAACATAAAACTGCCTGGACACTGCCTTTATTATAAATAGGTGCACACTAGTCCTTTGAATGTTGCAATTTATTTTTAAAAGTTTCCAACAATTAAAACAGGAAACTGAACAATTTGGTTGTTCCATTTTTCTTTCATTCACTTAGCGAATGTAGATTCTTGTATAGAAACAGCAACCCTCCACTGCAACTAATTAATCATAAACAGGGAAAGGGAAATTTTTTTTAACTTGACTCTATTAGGGTATCTATATTAAAAATTGTTCTATTAGAAAAAATTATTCCAGAAAAGGGATCATCAAGTTAATTGTCACATTAGACTTCAAATGAGTTGCCAGCCCAGAACATAAAGTAGGGTGGTTTCTACTAACCTGTTTTTTTTCAAATATACTTTCCCAATTCCACAGTAGGCCAAGCAATCAAGTCCCTCATTGGGGTAGTGTTCAATCATCCTCTTAAATTGGTTTTCAGCTTCAGATAATTCCTTCAGTAGTAATAAGAACAATGATCATTGACACAAAAAGAGAAATGCTGGAATAGATTTTATCTGAAGGTTGATCATCTTTGGGTAATATTAGAAGTAACAACTGTATATCCAAAATTTTCTATTGCAAAATTCTATCTTCTGCATTTCATTTTCTTAGCAATTATATAAATTTTGACCATATGAATACTCAGAGGCACACCCAAAGTGATCCACCCCCAGAATGAAAAGTTGGTGCTAAACATATTGGACAACCAAAAAATGGGTTTTTAATCACACAGAGAGGGTTAACTAAAAGATCTGGGTTTATGGCAAAAAGACTGCTTTCTATGCAAATACACAGTAACATATATCCTAGCAAGTGCTGCTTCCTTGAAGCATGGCATTCCAATGATGCTGCCAGAATTTTGTGGCATAAGAGAGGACATGCTCTGAAAAAACGCCTTTTGGAATACTCCCAAACTCATTCTATGAAGCCAGCATCACCCTAATACCAAAACCAGGCAAAGACACCACAAAAAAAGAAAATTACAGACCAATATCCCTGATGAACATAGATGCAAAAATACTCAACAAAATATTAGCAAACTGAATTCAAAGATACATCAAGAGGATCATACACCATGACCAAGTAGGATTTATCCCAGGGATGTAAGGATGGTACAACATTCGAAAATCCAGTAACATCATCTAGCACATCAACAAAAAGAAGGACCAAAACCACATGATCATCACCACAGATGCTGAAAAAGCATTCGACAAAATTCAACATCCATTCATGATAAAAACTCTCAATAAAATGGGTACAGAGGGCAAGTACCTCAACATAATAAAGGCCATATATGATAAACCCACAGCCAATATTATACTGAACAGCGAGAAGCTGAAAGCTTTTCCTCTAAGATCGGGAACAAGACAGGGATGCCCACTCTCCCCACTGTTATTCAACATAGTACTGGAGGTCCTGGCCATGGCAATTAGACAAAACAAAGAAATACAAGGAATCCAGATTGGTAAAGAAGAAGTCAAACTGTCACTATTTGCAGATG